AGAGAGAGAGAGAGTAAACACAGGCATACAGATCTCCTTCTTTCTCTTTCTTTCTCTCCCGCCCCCCAGCCTCTCACTCTCTCAGTCCTGTTCTATAAAAAGTATTATGATTATATACCTATATACAAGTATCATTTCTTGGAGATGCCCCAAAATACATGCTATTTCAACAATAATCGCGTGAAAGCCAACCTACAACGAAGTCAAATTCCATTTGATCGCCTAACAGAACAAAGATTGAGGTCAATGCCTTAAAAAGGGGGACAATCTTCCCCCTTCCTCTCACTATCCGACCCCGGTACCCCAAACTTCCGCCACAAACAGCAGCAATTTCAAGAGTAACCTCCAGGCAGGGACCTGTGGTGAAGAAAGGGGAATGCTCTCAAGTACTTCACGCTGAAGTGAAGACGTGGCTTTCCGAAACACGCCAAACTGAAAAAACCCACCCCCTCACTCCCCCCTCCAAAAACCTCGCAAGAACACACAAAAAACCCAATACAGAAGCAAAAACGAAGGCCTTAAGTTAGGTCAGCATTTTTGTTTGCATACAAGGAGAGCTGAGATGGACCATTATCTGAACCAATGCCATAGAAACAAAACCCCCAAACAAAAGCAACCAAAACAGACAAGTATTTTTTAAATGTTCAAGCGGAAACACATTTCCCAGACAAGCAAGTGAGACAAGATTAAAATTTGTCTGGACGAAAAAAAAGCTCACAACGGAAAGTCTTCAATTGCTCATAACATATTTATTCGTCAAACCTAGTTCATCTAGATAATCTAAACTGCTCTGGGTATACTCAACACTAAGAATGATATACATGTACTTAGCCCAAAGCGCAACTAATACGCGTATATTCCCTTTTAAAACGAAAATGCAATTTCTTGAAAATAATTGGTTTGAAATTTTAATGGCATTTCCGTTAACAGGAAATGGAACCGTCACATTCCCTTACATGAAGACGAAAGTCACGATGTGAAAGTCATAAAAAATGCATAATAAGACATTAAATTGGAACATGTCTGTTGTCCAGTATCCGAAAAGAATCAGCAAAACAGTAACTGAGCAAGGCTGTTCTTATGGTAAAATCGAGAGTTACAAAATGAAAACTTGACCTGCTGCTCACATCCGGAGTCTCCACTCTATGTGGAGCCAATTCGGGGTAGTCATGACGTCATGTGAGAAAAACGATCTTATTTATTTCAAGAATGAAGATCCCAATAAGACTTTTATGGAATATACCTTTGCGTCACGTATGTGTCCCGTAAAATGAAATAGACTAAGCAAGCCCCCCTCACCCCACCTAGTGACAGTGATTATTTATTAGGGGTGGGGGTGAAGGTTGGGAGGGGGTGTAGATGGGGAGGAATTGTTGACGTTAATCGATTGAGGAATCTCGAAAGGGCGCAGAAGAAAGCTATCGGACAAACTTTCTGATGGTACGCTGGATATATTATAAGCAGTTCTAGCACAGCTTCTTTCTTTCAAATTAAATTTCAAATTGAATATTGTTAAATACATTTCTCTTAGTTTCCACTTTCCAGGAATTAGGAACTACCCTACCTTCTCTCTTCCCTTTTCCACTGAGTTGGAAAGTACTAAAAATATACCTACAGCACTCAGTAAAAGAGGTTACATCTTAAAACGTAAAAGCTCGTACATGAATATATCTTCTCCACAATGCATATAAAAAGATATTAACCTTCACTTTAACGGATTATCTTACTCTTCGTTATTCTTTCTCAACTCTTCGTTACTGTGATGGCTTCGTAGGCAATTTTAGCTCTCGGAATGACGAGCATTGGTCTTGTCGGGTGTTGACTTACCCAGAAAACTAAGCTACCCCCCCCCCCCCACACACACACACACACACACACACACACACACACACACACACACACACACACACACACATACAAACACATACAAACACACTAAAACATACCTCATTACATTTCATTTCCTCGTTGTCCGTTTTGGCTCATGTCAACTATTGTGGATTGTGATTATAGTGACTGCCTGGGATGTAAGTGGGATGTGAAGGGCGTACAGAATAGTGTGGTGGTCTTCCCATCTGACTTAACCAACAGTAAACTGATTGAAAACAAATACTACATGTTATTTTGTATTTTGGCCATTAAAAACACCCTAAACAAAGCAAACAGGGCTGTACAAAAAAGGCAAATAAGTCTATATAAAAAAAAG